TGTTTTACGAAAAATGTGCACGCACCAACACGTCCATAGGAAGGTCTGGAAAGGTATACACCAAAGTGCTCTGGTCATTGTCTCTTGCTAGTGGGAATGATGGGTGTTATCTTCTTTGCTTGCCCACATTACCTAACTTTCTATAAAAGGAACACATGTGTTCCTTCTGGAATTAAGAAAGCGAGGCTACGATCGAGATGACGGCGAAGAATTAGACAAGGGTGAGTAACGCGTTAAGTAACGATCCACCCCACAGGTTGGGGGTGCTGGTGGAGCTTGCTGGCGGCCCAGGCTGGCTCTCAAGCTCATGGCCTCTTACAGTCCTCCACCCGCCCCTCATCGCCCGCCTCGTCCCCTACCTTCCCTGTACCTTCTTGGCCAGAGGGACACTTCACTCTTTTGTCTCTATCAAGCTGGGGGACCCATGATGCAGATGAAGCACACTGGTGGCAGGACCCACCTGTTCAGTTAGCACCAAGCCACCGCTCCCACTGTCCCCGAGGACAGCCAACGTGCAGCTGAAATTTCAAACTCAATTAGCACAGAGACAGGCTGAAGCTGCTCTTGAGTAACTAATCATCTAAAAGCTGCCAAGACGATGCTCTACCTGGGATGTGCCTGTGAACTTGAAGGTCTGTTTATCTCTTCGAGTACTAATAATAGGGAACAGCCAACCAGCAGTTAAAAATGCAACCTGGGAGTGATGTTTTGAGGTTCCTTCCGTGAATTCAAGGAGCGGGGGTGGGGATGAGAATGGGGGAAGGATGGCAGAGATGGGGAGAAAAACCTGCCTGTCCTAGAAAATGAAGCCTAATTATTCCCCGAGCAGACCAACTGGAGGACAGGTTTGTCCACGAACGCCCTGCACAGGCTCATCTCTGAGGCACATATGGTGTGGCCTTGAATGAGCTCTGTCTGCGGTGGACCAGCCCTGCCGGCTGCATCCCAAGAAGCAGGTGGAGCGGAATTGGCCCACCCTTCCCTGTCGAAGGCAGGACAGCGGAAGCCCCACCGCTCAACTTCGGCACGCCAGTGGGGATGCAGATGCTGCGAGGTACCGACGAGCAAGGTGGGTCGTCAGATTTTGCCCTCTACCTACAGACCCGACGGCCCCAAGACGCCTCCCCGTCGAGTCGGCGGGGGGTTCGGGACCTTGTGAGAATCCTGGCGGCTGAAGGCGCTCTCCCTTCTCCTCCTCCCAGCTCGGGTGACCTTAAAAGGCTCTCGATATAGCATCAGGCCCACACTGTGACACTCTAAATGCGATGGAGAGTTTGCACATTAACACCGAAAGATCATCATTTTGTGCCTGCAGCTCTCCGTCAGGAGTGTGAAGTGTAAAAACATCACTCGATACCAAAAGGCCAATTCCCAATTTAGTGCGGGGAAAAAAAAAAATCTGGACAACCTTTTACGGCCCTCCTCATTCCATTCTGTCAGTTCCTAACGGGCGCCCTGCTGATGAACAGTAACCTGGACGGCAGAAAGTACGGGGTAAAAGCATCGCTGCTTATCCTGGCAGGGAAGCATCTGTAAGACAGAGGTTTCCAAGTTCGGGCCGAGTGCTTCTCGGGCAATTCTTGACACAACACACTCGACAGAGCAGGGACTGGTTAGTCCCTTTGCTTCTGGGGAGCAAGCTTTGCTGTTGAGTGGCCATGGAGCTCGATGACGCAGGCAGCGGGATACCCAGGCCCTCCAGGCCTCGAGCACACAACAGAGAAAACAGCCTGAACCCACCTGGGAGTAAAGCAGACAACATGTGGAAAGCGCCTGGCACAGAGGAGATGCTGAGCTGTCAGGGTGGTAATGAAGTCACCTAAAACACCTTGTCGTTCTGGCCTGGAGCTCACCCGTGCACAGTCTCAGGAATGGGGGGCTGGCACACTCGTTGATGGCCATGCTCCTTTCTGTAAGGGGTACCAGAGGATGGTTCCAGACCCAGTAGCTATGCCCACAGCAGCATTAGGTCCCAGCTTCCCCCCAATCCACATCGTGGAACTGATCCCAACCCACCTCCAGCCTCTATTTTTGCCCATTTCAGGTCAACATGTTCTCTAGGTTTGAACGGTTGACACACAAAGCCAGGCCCTCTCATGGGTCTGTTAGGCACCAAGTGTTCGGGGATCTGGTGAACAAGCCCCTCACCCTCCGGCCCCTCTCACCTTTCCAGAGCCCAGCCCCCTCCCTTTCAGCGTCCCCCACTTGGCACTGAAGGAGAAGGGTCAAAGGGGGGAACGCCCTAAAGGTTGACTAGCCCGGCCCTTATATTTTTTCCCCTTTTAATGAGGGAAAGTTAAAAAAAAAAACAGAAGAGTAGCACACACCACCCACCTATGCAATGTCCAGCCTCAGTAATTATCTGCTCATGGCCAATCATGTTTCGTCTACAAGCGCCCCACCCCCTCCAACTCTCCTGCCTCGCCATCACTGGGCCATCAGCCGGGCGTCTTGCGGGAGAGGGGACGGGGTCTCATAGAGGACGAGCGACTTGTCTGAGTACTACAGCTGGGAGTAGGAGGCCAGAGTTGAGGCCCTGGCCCAGGCACGCCCTTCGCGCTTTTTGCTGTTGCTACACTCTACCTGTGCTCTCCTTTATTTGTTTATTTTTATTTTTTATTGAAGGATAGTTGATTTACAATGCTGTGTTAGTTTCTGGTGTGTGCTATTATTTAGTATTTTTCTTTAATGGTCTCACTTTTCCGCCTAAGTGCCTTAGTTTAACATGGAAGCTTCTTATCATGCCTGTAAATGGGGAACAGGCATCAGTGGCCACAGAGAGTAGGTATCACTGAAAATGATGCAGAGAGGATAGGAATAATGTCACTCAGTCTAAGTAGAAACCACTGCCTGCCCACGGCTCTGAACTCACGGTCTGCTCTCTCTCCATTGGAAACAGAGCTCGGCAGGGGGTGGAGGGATCTTTGGGACCAACGAGGACGCTCTCAGATTTGCTGCAAACACTTAAAAATCCAAATAGCTCTCTTACAATGTGGTGTACTGTTACCACAATCCCATCAATCATCAGAGGGCTGTTTTCCTCATATGTGAACCTCCCTGACGTGCACTGTCAGCCAGCTGGCAGTCGGGATGCACCTGTCATCAGCACATGCGCCAACTCACCTTGTCGTCACTTCACACGAGCTCTGAGTACCCATATGTCCTGCACAGGGTCAGTCTACTTGCCATTTAAATGCCTTCCGAAAGATGCACAGCCATGCGGCAAAATGTTATTACACACCCAATGTCCTCAATTCGGGATTTTCTTGCAACAAACAAGTGTCTTACAAGACCAAAGAAAGAAAGATACCTGCAAGTCAGTGCAGCTGTGTTATGCTCTGTTACCGGGAGCCCTGGGAAGGGATTGCCTGTCACATGTTAAGACAGTAAGACTTGAGGCAGGAGAGACCGCAAACCCCCTTGGAAGGCATGAAAGGAATTTCAGGGCAGTGAAAGGCTGGTGTGACTGATTCATGTGTCACACAGGATTATCATTAAAGCGTGTGCCATCGTTTAACTGGCAGCACGCTTTTCTTAGGGGATCATGAAATAGTGGTGCATCTTACAAGGGATGGCATCTTAAATGTGATAAACCCTGGTATTTAATCTAAAATCACCCGCTGTGTGGAAGCGTTCCTGCGCTACACCCGTGCTGCCGCTCACACTACTGCCCCAAACTGGCCCCTGAAAGCACCGCCATCTCCTAGAGAGACCAGTGGTTCTCAGACTCGGGCCCGTATCAGCCACCTGCGGGGCTTGTTAACAACGAGGTTGCCAGACCCACCCCGCAGAGTCACCGATTCAGCCGGCCCGGGGTGGGGCCCGAGGATTTGTGTTCCTAATAAGCTCCCATGATGCCACAGCTACTGGACCATACTTGGAGTGGCACTGTTCTATTGCTTCCCCCACCACTAAACCCCCTTTATCCTCCGGGCCTTTTTAGCCTGGCAGGGGTAGGTGTGGAGGGCCTGGGTGGTACCAGAACCCAGGTGGGAGCCACCCATTCTTCTGGACACCTCGGAAGGCAGCATCTCTCCGGTATTGTTCACCGCAAAGAGGACATTACTTGTCACCTAGGCTGGGCCTGCGGAAAGCTCTGGGGACTCCCCTGTCCTTCTCAAGACCTTCAGCAGGTCAACACTTCTTCATGTAAACAGGTTATGGCTTTAAATGTCAGGGGCGGGGCTTCCCTGGTGGCGCAGTGGTTGCGAGTCCGCCTGCTGATGCAGGGGACACGGGTTTGTGCCCCGGTCCGGGAGGATCCCACATGCCGCGGAGCGGCTGGGCCCGTGAGCCGTGGCCGCTGAGCCTGCAC